TAATATCCACAAGTGATTCGGATTATCAGTGATTAATTAAGTGATCAGTGTTTGGTGACAGTGCAGTGTAAGTGAACTTCGCAAACAACCATACCGGAGGTTCCTCCGACCGTATCCTTCGAATGTTGCGGTCATCGACCTGGGATCAGCTGTTCGTTGTACGAGGTCAGTACGTACGAGTCAGCACAAATGCATCCTCAACTAATAGGTGAGTTTCTTATCGATAATATTTTTCATATTTCTCTAACAAACATATCCCTTACGTCCTTTAACACGATTATTATTTATTAAATTAGCTTTGCGAATCATTCGTTGAATTCTGTTCGGACACGGAATTATTTAAATTAAAATAACATTTACGTACTTTGTTAATCTTCACTGTACACCTTGCTTAAAAATTTCGTGTGTTACACACGAGGTGTCATGCACACCAGAAAATTAAAACGGTTGTCATCAACGGTTATACTACATATTATTTCGGGTCCGAAAAATTAGTAAATATTCTTCAGACGTTCTAAAATAAGAGTGAACAGCGTTTTTCATAAAAATATCACTGTTACGTAGTAAAAAAAATCCGGAAAGTACTCGCTTCGTGACTTATTCAATACTTCGAACGCGGTTTGAGTCCGTCCCGACCTTCTGTCAAAGCCTCATGCTGCGGACTCTCTCTCTCTTGCACCGTCGCCTCTCATTGGCCAGTGTTTTTCGTTAATAACTCGTAAACAAAGCCGCAGATTGCATTTTCGCAAAGGAAAGAGTTACTTCAAATGACCTCAGCTACTCCTCATTTTCGGCTGTTAAAATAATTGTGGAACATCCTGTATATGTGTCAACAATTTTTTGATTGTGGCGCCTCTTTTGGAGAACATGCGGAGCTCTGTTCGACGTCCGTACAGCGCCAATTGGGGTAGTGGCAAAACGCTGAAACTGTTGGCCAAAATCGTCTGTTGGTAAATTTGGCCAACAGTTTCAGCGTTTTGCCACTACCCCAATTGACGCTGTATGGACATTGAAACAAAACGCTCAAACTGTTGGCCAAAATCGTCTGTTGGTAAATTTGGCTAACAATTTGAACGTTTTGCCGCTAGGTGTAGCAACGCTATTCAAACATTTTCGGTACTGGATTTTGCATTAAATCTTATAAAAAGGAGCGTCGAGAATCATCCGTACTATATGTTTGCGATAATAAATTAATTATTTTTACATGATGCAAATATATATTGGAGGATATATTGGAGAGTCTCCTGAATATTTGTATGACTTCGTAATATCCTCTAGCCGTTAAATTCTCACGAGAAAAAGCGAGTCAACTACGGCAGAATTTTGATTATCGGAAGCGGTACAGTATCGTATAATCGAATATGCTAGAAAACTACTCGGACGAAAGTAAATTTTAACTTCTTCTAAAGAACAATTGTTGTTTCTGTAGTAGATTTACTTGCAAATCGCTTCCGGTCATTCCAGATAATCAAAAATCTACGATATTTTGTTTACTGTTTCGCTCAAACAATGGGATATATACCTCCATAATGGCAGACGCAGGCGTAAAGATCGTACAAGTGTCGACCCACACTTAAACCAACCAAAGGGAATGTGACTTTATCGTCTAACTTCATACTGGCGCACTCGTAAAAGACAAATCTGCAATGCACACAAAGAGTGAAAAACTTGTTATATAGATGTTACAAAACGCCATAAGAATAGAATCTTTATGCCATCGAGAACATACATACATACCGTTTCAAATAAACTATAAGGAACTTGGGATATCTGTGAACCGTGAGTGTTTTCGTAGCGCATTGATTTCGTTCACACTTTGGACAAAACCAAGGATTATGTTCATCTAATGTTTCGCTAGAAGTGGACAGATATATAAATCAATGTTAAACGATATAAATTTGAAGTCTCGACGAAATTAACACAACGTGTTGCCGCATGCGACCGAATCCTTTGATAATTTGCCATAAAAATCCAGTCTCCGAAGGGAAATGTGTCCCCTTAATTTCATATCGCATGTCCCGAACCATTCTTCGCATCAATAATTATTTTTGTTATTTCTTAATGTAGACCATCGGCGACGCATGCGGTATCAAACCATAGCTACGGCTAAATCTAACGTATACCTCTGACTAAATGCTTGAAGACAGTCGTACAAAGACAAAGGATGATGGGGCCTCTGTTTGCTAATGCTGACATGCTCGATCGAAGGCGCGATCTTAGGAACGTGATCTGTATACCGGACGGCTAAAGTGTCGCCATTTTGCAACACAACCATGTCGGTTTCCGGCACACTGCAACCCGTGCAATGTTCAGTATACATACAACGAGAACAGTGATGGCCCTGCAGAGAAATGTTTTTTTTATTCTTCAATGTTACTTTTTTACCATTACACTTCATATATATATATATCCATAATGATAACCGATCATTCTAACCTGGCCTGTAACAAAATGGAGCGTGTAACTTCCTTCTTGCGGCACGTTTCGCCTAACAATATCATACAAATCTTTCGCATTTACCCTTGAAGGTAATCTGACTAAATGCGGGTATCCGAACAGTTTAGTTCTCTTGCGGTTATTTGTCGTTTCATTCGTCGTGTCATGCCTCAAAACCAACGGTACATTTAAAATTCGAACTGCAGGCCTCGGCCGACCCGTTTGATCTATTTTAATGAAGGACGACGCGGTGATGTATGTTGTACACATCGGACACAATTGGGGTTCTGTTTGATTCTTGAAGTAGTTCTGCAAAATCAAACGTGTACACCATTAATTACAATTCGTTAGGATGAAGAAGCGTAGGTGGCGCGCGTAACTGTTTCCTAATTTTCTATTCGCGTTCAGAGACATCTATTTATTAAAGCTATTTCGAAATATTTTAGACGAACGTGTGTGGTCGTTGAATCGAACGAATAATCTAAACTGTAGCGTAGTGTACCCTCAGTGTACAGCAGCCTCAGATTAGTCTGAATTGAGTTCCAGAACACGGATGTTCAGGCTTGCGGATTGTACTCAAATAGCGAATCATACGGGTTTCCATCTTTCCGTTTCCAAGCACCTCAACTTGTTACAAAGCTTCCTAGGCTAATTGGTAACGTAAAGCTGTTTCTGGTTCCCGTACGTACCCTTATGGTACCGTCCGGCTAGAACGTTCGAGGATTTAATCTCAGACCTTCCCGGGGTTAAACAGTGGTAACCGTGTACCTCGCTTGTGTACCCCTACCGCTAGATTGAAGCTGCCGTTTTCATCATTGGGTTTTCCAAATAATAAATAATTAGTTGTTAGGTTTACCTCGATAAACGATAGACATAACGACGGTAAATCAAACTGCGTATTTGCCGAAATAATCGATCAACGGAAAAGATCTGTAACGTGGATGATGCACAGTTTAAAACGGTGGAAAGAATTATCGCTCACCTCGATACAGACGTCGCACATGACGAAATTACAAGTGTTCCCGCTATGCCTTTTCAAATCGCCGTCCAATTCTTCGAGGCAAATCGTACATGGAACTTCGTCTCCCGTAATCGCTGATTTCTGACAGACGTCAGCGTCCACCACGCGATCGCCACCACCATCTGGCACTGAAGTGTACGCGTCAGGGGGTTCCGTGAGTTCAAAGGCGTATATAGACCGATTCGTATCATTGATGTGTCTCAAGAGAATATTGTCATCCTTAAATTGAAAACCTTGATGTACAATCCGACAGTGACATTTCCGTGTAGTGCGATAAACTACAGCAAGCAAGGTACGTAAGTCTCGATACCTACGGTGCAAGGGTAAAATAATATAGAAGAGGAAGAATCGTGGCCGCTTTTCGTGAGCCAAAAACAAAGAGCATGCACGTCGAAGCACAGAATCGAGAGAACGTAAATAGAAAAATGTAAATAAAGAAAACGTCTGTATGATGGACTGTAGCCTCGTAACTAGTTCTTTACGATACGAGAATGTTCTTCCATAATCATTTCTCTTGGAGGGCAGTATCGACGATTATCGACACTAGATGATAAGTCGCCTTCTTCACCCTCCGTAAACATACTCTTACAGAACTTAAGACCTACGCACCATTTGCTCGTAAAGTCAAACAAGCCTGAACTGGATTTTGAAGATAGAGATTCAATTGGAAACATGATGTAGATCATTGATAGGCGCAGTTTTACCTCAGAGACAGGACGAACTCTTCTCGATGCTTACCAGAATCTTTGATATATGGTTTTCCAAGACTTCTGCCAGCGCAATGTTCGCCACTGTGATGTTTTCTTTGCTCAACGTTTTGAGCAACTCGTCCTTCAATTTTCCAATTCGTGACTGCTTGTTCAACGAGACGACGCACTTAATAGTTTGATCGCCATTCGCAGGCACGTACGTGACGTTCAATTGCCTTTCTATCGCATGGGGTAGCGGTACTGACAAATACATGAACGGCTCATACGTAACCGACACGTGTTTACACACTGCACAAACAACCTGTAATGGAAAACGAAGGTATGATAACACACTTTCGAACTTATGTCGCACGTATGACGAAAAAGACATATGTGCCGGTAGAATGAGCCCTGTCTCTCACGCTTCGCAAAGCAAGGAGGTATGACCATCAAATTTTATTGTAGGAGGCAGTTTACGGTAAAAACCAATTGTATGAGACATCCCAATTGTATAAGTCTCCATGGGAAACATGTGATATTAGGATGTCTAGACATTACCTTGCTCTTAAACTGTCCCTGGAAAGTGTCAACAATTATACTCCTATTAGACCCTAAGTGATTTGCCCAATGTTTATCCGCCTCAATCTCATCTTGCGCGGCGATAGCTCCATTGCCGTAACTTTGAGAGACCCGTGTACACTGCGAGCTAATACTTCCAAGGCCATCGCGTTTGTGATTCTTCTCTTGATCATCTAGCCTCATACGTTTCACGTTGCACTTCTCTAAACCATTGTCGTACTCTATATCGGAACCGCTCGATGCGTAATCCACACCAGAATTGACTTTTTGAACGTTAACTTCTTTTATTCGTTTAAAACTGACGCTTTTATTGTCGAAAACATGATTTTCCATCAGATTCGAGTTGTCTAAAGGCATTCTACGAACGCTCTCCTTTGGATATTTCTGTGAATCATAACGAATCTCGTTATTACATTCTTGTTGTGTCACTAAGAAATTCGCATTACTAGTTTTCGCTTCTTTATGAATATCATAAAGACCGTGATATTTGGGAACGTTTTTCGAAAGTTCTATCAGCGTATCCAGTCTGAACGTAGAAACGGTCTCATCCTCCTTCTCGTCAACTTTATTATGAATGAAGGTATTTGATTTTGCCTCAACGGTTTCGTCGGAATCGAGTGTCTCTTCGTCGTCACCGTCGTTCAAAGGTGATCCCCGTGGTGAATTTGCAGTACTATCTAACTCGCCTATCGGTGAATCTAAGTCTAAACAACGTAACGTTAAACTTACATTGTTCATATATGTTCTATTATAATCTGTCCTATATTTTTTTAAAAATTCTCATATATATATATTTACCCCTTGGTGAGCCAGCCATTGTTACATTAGGACTATTAGGACATTCTGGCGACGGCAAACAATCATACATCTCTAACAAATCTGAATTACAGTTCGAATTGCTAGTGGCAGTAACTGGAGATATAGCTTTCCCGTTCGAATTCTCAAGAGAGTTAATCGAGTTGGCAGTAGTTGTAGACGAAGGAGTTTGACAATTCTTTGTACCCTTTGCTGTATTCATTTGTTCATGCAAAGAATCCAACAGAAGGGCAAGAAATTCTTGACAATCATGCTGTGAAATGTTATTCTACAATTATCTTACTTATACACTTTCAATTGTTTCGCAGACGATTGTGTAAATATATACCTGTCTGTAATCTTTAAATTGCGAATGATACGCTCCTAAAGTTTGTTTAAATTCGATAGGCCTGAGAACACTGTATCTACCAGACCACATTTTACTAAGCAGTACACTGAAATGTGCCATCAGCGATCCGGGAGGAAGAAGTTTCTCCCCCCTCTGCTGCAAATCCAAAAAATGTTGCAGAACAGGTGGAGTTGCAGTTAAACATTGCAAACCGGCAGCCATAAAACAAGTATTACCAAGATTACGAAGACCACATACACCCGCGCGTAACACTATATCCTCTGGAAATACAAACACAAATAACACAACGGTCAATTAAATGGCTAATTAAAATCGCAAACATTAAGATTGTATAGAAATATCTAAAGACACATGCCCATTGGAGAATCATCTTGAGAATCTCCACCTTCTGAAAACAAATTGTTTAAAGCAGGTGTACCGGGTGGTAAAAATGGACCGTGCTCAATGCCAGCCCCGCTATTATCGATTAGTTCGTCTGTGCCGATATCTGTAAAATCGCTTAAACCAGGTGGTGGCGGAAGTGGAATGGCATAATCCGAGGTCGAACTATTTGCTTCGGTCCTATAAGAAAAGAAAATTAATGTAATAAAACTATATGCATATACTGGTTGTGTATCGTCTGTGTGTACCATGTGTCTTCTATGCCCATATTAACTCCGGTAGAAAGTAATTTATCCTCTTGAAGGGTAAGAGTATGATCTAAGGAAGACGTTAACGGACTGAGACCAGTCGATTCTAACACGTCTGATATCTCTGGGACTCCAGGTAGGTGAAAAATTTCAGATGATCCAATCATTGAAATATTTTCTACTTCTGAGACATTCACCTTATTGTCCATTCAGATAATAAAATACCAAGTATTACCTAAAAATATAATTATGGTAGAGAAAAGGATTAAAAATGTAATTACATATATACAGTTTGTAATCGTATAATATATAGTAAAGATAATTGACACAATATTGAATTTTAAATGAAATGTTTCATACAAACAGAAACCACGTAACGTGACATTATTAATAATTGTCTAATTAATCTTCAAGTAGTGCCAGAATTACCAGTACATAGAACCAATAAATATGTATCATGAGTACACCTGAGACAGCTTCTGTTGAAGATTCTATGAAATCGAGTTAGTATCAAACAATAGTTAAAATCATCCTAACCTAAGATGTCGCGAAAGATTACCGCGAATTCTTCGGCGTCCTATTCTCGTGAAGCGGTAACCACTTCATTGAACATTTATTATAAACAATTCGCGTTTTTTATTTTTTATCAGCGAAATTAAGTTGTGCGGGCTAGTACAATGATCAATATGGACGAAACTGAATTCTGTAGTCTATAAAAGTACGACTAGACCTTGCCCATTCAAATTGTGATCATCCTGGAAATGTTTCACAATAAAAGTTCGATATAAGTGCTCGCACGAAAGCGTAAATGATACGTAACTAACATAAATGAAAGACATAAGAAAGAAAACGACAAAATAATATTCACTTACTTTACAGAAAATCCACTTTCTTCTTTGTGAAATATCTATACCGCCATTGCAGTAAACGGCATGGTCAATGGATGCGCCTAGAAAAGGAAGATTCGCTCGCGGCGCCTCAGGAAGTCGGCATATTTTTCAGTCTGTAATGCGGGCACACCACTTCCTGCTTTCTAGGGGAAATTTATTTACCCGCCCAAAATTATCAAAAATTAAGGTAGCATTTTCATTTGGTAGATCAATAAATTTTTAAATTGTGTTCCGAAAATCTTTGGGAGAAGAAAGGTGGGGTGGAGGGAGAAGGTAATAAAGGAACACACGCAATCAAATAATACATGTACGCGCGCGCGCGCGCGTGTGTATGTGTGTAAATACAGAATTATTTGAAATGCGATTTTTCTTAAATCATACCTTCGAAATGACAGAAGTTTCGAAAACGATTAACGAGGAATTGTGACAATTGCTCAAACAAATGCTCAAATTCTGATGCGGTAATCATCAACGTTTACAGAGTGTAATATATGTATGCATATGTACATAATAAGAAAAGTAAAAGATCGATTTGATATCATAATGCTATGTTGTACTATGTATGAACTTAATATGTTACTACCTATTGAAAGAACTACTCATATTTACATAACAATAAACGATAGAAACCACATTTTTATGTAAAGTTTGTTATGCTCTTCTGTTTGTGTAAGAAAAGTCTTCAAACACATGTTTATATACATATGTATATATGCCAAATTTCACTAGTGTAACGCAACCTATACGTGCCCATCTGCACATAGTACGTATCATACAGATTACATACACATTTCAAATACGTATACTATTAAAGATTATCTATGTGTACTATGTTGTATTGACTTCTTTAACGCACACTAATAAAACAAATTTAATCATGTCTAACGTCAGTTTCAGTAATCTGTCACTTGTATTTATTCAGTGATAAATTAAACGATTTAGTACAAATGTTGCGATAGTAGTATTACGACATTTCTTAGTGGCAGCAAGCAGTTTGTATGACTGGTATGACAAAAGTGCAACGATAGCTAATTTTTAAGTAAAAATGCAGTAAGGTGGTACGTTCTGTACACGTGAAAAACGTGATTTATGACGGGAACCTATCAATTCAATTAGTAATAACGTTGTTCAATTTTATTAAAGCGTCATTATTTCTGATTTTAGTTAGTTTACAGTGTTATTGTTGCTACAAACAACAGAGTTAAATTACTATTACATGTTATTTTGTCATAATATCCAGTTAATAAACAGGCGCTAGTGGCTAACATTAAATTATAACATAATATGACTTAATTACAGTCTCTAATTCGCATAAATAAATCTCATATGCCATATAAAAACATTATACAAAATATTGGGAAAAATAGAGAGAATTACATGTACAAATATGTCATCGCAAGAACAAACATTAATAGTACAATCAAAATTCGTTTCGGGAGAGATTGTAATAATTGTATCCTTTTATTTCTTCTTCCGTAATCTACAAAATTGTAAGATATTTATATGCGTAACCTTAATCGCACGTATAGACAACCGAAGCTTCGTTAATTCAGGGTTGGCACAAAGCTCCTAGGATTGTAGCACTGCTCAACAAAGGAACAACTCATGCCCTGGTGATTCTAATCAGTTCTAAAACACCTCCTCAAGTTTATAGTGACCTGACCATAGAAAGAATATTACCTATCGATCAAGATTTTAAATGCAACATAAGTATATAATCTTAATGTCGTTATTAATTGTAAATATAATAATATAATAACTAATGAATGATATTTTTTGAAGACACAGATGAAAAACAACAGGATAGTCTAGATGTGTACCTTAACGTAACATCAAGAAAGTTACAGTTAATATTCGAAATGAGACCTGGAGTAGAAACCAGTTCCTTAGTATCAGAGATATTTAGAGCTATAGAAGGTAAAATCGCATTGCATCGTATAACCAAATGTCGCATTTAATTCCAATTAATATTTTGATGATTTCAGTGTGTCAAAAATCAAATAATCCAGCATCAGAATTTTCATGGATTCAAAAATTAACAGGAAGTACGCGTAACTTGAGTGTTACCAATAAGGAAGTAGAAGATGTTACCGATCCTGTTAGTCCATTATTTTATAGAAGAACGGCGATGCTTGTTTCTAAAATATTAATCGAAAAACTTCTTTCGCAGCTGGTGGACATAGAAAATCCACTTTTAGTTGTAACAAGACAAAGCATTGCTTCTGGTAAATCACCGGTAGCTGCCAGAGAATCAGCCGTACGATACCAGATGGCATGCAAAGAAGATGATTATACATACAGTAAAACATTCCGGTTTGTTACCTTGCATTCGTGCATTTATTTTGCTGTAATGTTATTCATACTTCTATGTTTTCGTCTGTTTTAGTATATTTATTGGAACGTGGAATGTAAATGGACAAGCACCGAATGGTATTACTTTACACGAGTGGTTAAGTTGCGATAAAACACCACCAGATGTATACGCGATTGGATTCCAAGAACTAGATTTAACTAAAGAAGCATTTCTTTTTAATGATACTCCAAGGGAAGAGGAGTGGAGGTAGTAAAAAATTATAAACGAAGATTTCATTAAATGAAATATTTTAACAGTATTATTATTTTTATAGACAAGTTGTAGCAAAATCTCTTCATCCAAATGGAGTATATGAACAAGTGGCCATTGTCAGACTAGTTGGTATGATGTTACTCATATATGCTTTAAATAGTCATATACCATTTATTAAAGATGTATCAGTTGATACTGTAGGCACTGGTATTATGGGTAAAATGGTAATATCCTTTTTACTATGTGTATTGCGTCCAATAAGTTCGTGTTGCTTACTATTCTCATTTTCTTCAACCCTCGCGTTTGTCGTATGGCCAAACCGTCCACTGCACAAGACGACATTACGACGTGCGTGGGTCAAACTCTTTTCCTTCGATCGCTTATTCTACTGTTTTTATAAAACACACTGCGAAAGGTATAAACGTATTCACGGCACGAACTTATGGGATGTCCTAATAAAATCAGAGATTTTTAATACTGGTAGACGTGTAGTCGACCTTGTTCTATTATTTACTGCTTTTGTACAGGGTAACAAAGGAGGTGTAGCAGTAAGTTGTTCTATTCATAATACGTCTATCTGCTTCGTTAATGCCCATTTAGCGGCACATTGTGAAGAATACCAGAGACGTAATCAAGATTATGCAGACATATGTGCACGATTATCGTTCTCAAAATATGTTCCTCCAAAAACTTTTAAGGATCATGAGTAAGAATTCAAGTGAAATATTATTTTTGGAATATGTTCCAATTTTACCATACTAAAAGACCGCCGATATTCTTAATGTAGCCAAATTTACTGGTTGGGAGATTTAAATTATCGAATAACAGAAATGGACGTTGCAGTTGCCAAACAACATATAGAAGCTGAAAATTATGCTCCCCTTTTGACATTAGATCAACTTTGCCAGCAAAGACAACTAGGCCGGGTGTTACAAGGATTCCATGAAACAGAAATTACATTTAAGCCAACGTATAAATACGATTTAGGCACTGATAATTGGGATTCTAGGTAAAACTGTTACATATTTTATGCACATACATATCTATTTTTATACTTTTTTGTATATGAGAATTATGAATTTCAGTGAAAAAAGTAGATCCCCTGCATGGTGTGATCGAGTATTATGGAAAGGAGATGCGATTACATCGATTGAATATCGAAGTCACCCCGAATTAAGAATTTCCGACCATAAGCCAGTCAGTGCTGTGTTTGATTCTCAGGTAAATAGAACTTCTTCGATTCACAAATTATTAATCATATATTAACAAGTGTTATAATTTGTAATTAATTGCAGATTAGAATTATAGATATGGCAAAATATCGTAAGATTCATGAAGAAGTTATGAAAAAACTTGATAAATTAGAAAACGAATTTTTACCTCAAGTAATGGTTGATACTACCGAAATAATATTTGACACTTTGAAATTTCTGGAACCTAGTAGCAAAGAACTCATCATTGCAAATACTGGCCAGGTAAAACAATTTTTATATAAATTAGTATATCCTGCATACCGAAAATAATTATACGTTATAGGTACCAGTTCAATTTGAATTTATAAAGAAATTAGGTGATACTAATTATAGTAAAGACTGGTTGGATATCGAACCATTTAAAGGTTTTATAAAACCAGGTATACTACATTTGTTCCTTTTTTTCATTCTTGGATCGTATTTTTATTCTTAAAATGGATAATCTATTTAGTAACTTAATTTCAATTGTATTTCAGGGGAAAAATGTGATGCTAGATTCGAAATATACGTCGACAAAAGATCAGCGTGCAAATTAAACTCGGGGGAAGATAAATTATACGATATCTTAATTTTACATCTTGAAGGTGGAAAGGATATATTTATTACTGTGACAGGTAGTACGATGTCGTAATAAATACGGCGGATAAGCGGAGAAGTCATTTATATTTGTAATTTTTTTCAGGTACTTACGAAAGAAGTTGTTTCGGAGCATCGATAGAAGCTTTGGTTCACATACGAGTACCTATTAGAGAAGTACCTATTGGTAGATTAATGGAACTTGTAAGGAAGCTACATAAAACATAAAACAGAGAAAGAAGTAAAGATCTAATACGAGTTGTCTTGATGTTACAGGAAAATAATAAGAATCTTCCTCCAGATCCATATGAAATACCTAAGGAGATATGGTTTTTGGTTGACAGATTATATCGGCACGGTATAAAAACGGCAGGACTCTTTGAAACTCCTGGTCTTCACAGTGAAATTATAGCTATAAGAGATTGGTTAGATAATGGGAGCCAAGACCCAATGCGTATCCTTTTCAGAACATAAAAATCACATATGTGAAAAATGCTACAATCTCTTCTAACGATTCAGAAATTATTTTGGTTCCTTAACCATATTTTTACAAAGCTGGTAGTGTACATTCTGTCGCAGAAGCATTACTTTTACTATTAGAATCAACTGCTGAACCATTAATTCCGTATAACTTGCATAGCGTGTGCTTGTCCGCAGCAGTAAATTATTTACAGTGCAAACAGGTACATACACGCTACATATAGATATATAATATTTATATAATTTAAAATGGAAAATCTTTTAATCGTTTTACAGATTGTAATGCAACTTCCAGAAATAAGGAGAAAAGTTTATCTTTATATATGTTACTTTTTAAAAGAATTATTAAATCACACGCAAGATAATAAATTTGATGCTAAAACTCTTGGTAAGATTATATAAAAATTATTTTATTATTCATTATAACAAATGCTATCTAATCTATTATTTACTTTGTAGCAACACTGTTTGGATCAATATTTTTAAGAGATCCACCGAGAAGTAGAGACGACCGAAATCAGAGAAATCGTACTATTCAAGGAACAATCGACAGGAAAAAAGCTGCATTTGTTTATCATTTTTTAGTGAATGATCAAAGTGATTTTATTCATGATCGATAGTCGTATTCGAAATTGAAAATAGAAAGTATTTGTCTAAATGTTTTGTCTATAGTTGGGAATATAATATTCCTTCTCTATGATCATGCATTGTTGACTTTCTTCTAATTGCATTGTTATCTCTCTCATATCATGCTGTGAGCTGACAGCAAGTAAATCTTACTTCAGCTTCGCCAATGGTAAATTACAAGTGACGAAAAAGTATGAAACAAATTGAACTGCCAGTACATGAAATGAGCGTAGAAGTCATATGCATTGCTTCCTACATACATATAATTGCGTTGTCAATCACGAATGTTGAAGCTATAGAGAATCGAAATGTAATAGTTTAATTTGCAACGTATTAGTAAATAATTCATATTTAATACTGTTATAGCAGTACTTAACAATGACGCGAACAAAATTTTTATAGTAATAAACAGCTAATTTGCCAATTCCAAATCTTACCCTAAAATTTTCATGGTGCGCTACATGTGAAATACTCATAACTAGTTAATAAGTAAGAAATATAATCACAGTTACAATTTCATCTAGTCTTCATGGCCTAATGCGGCTATAAATACATTTATATGTAAATTTATTCATAATAA